GTTAGGTAGAACCACTTCATTTGTTTTATTCCATACATGAAAATGCCATTGCACACGCGTGTCAAATGGCAAAAAACAGCATCTCGTTTTATTTTTACATGTTCTCAGCAGAACTCTGCAGAACCACGCAAGTAACATTTTTATAATAGTTTGCAGTGATTCATTATATTAAGATTCTAGTTTATGTTTTTAGCGAGATACGGAGGAGATTATTCATATGGGAGAGGCGACTTCTCCCCCGGGAGAAAATTTTCAAATAGAGACTCCCCATTTTGTTTATATCGATCATCGAATCGTTCAACTGATCAAAAACAATAGAATAACTCATCGTGTTGCAGATATGTAATTCAATCTGATTGTATTAATAGGTTGACTAATCAATGATATGAGTGTCTCTCAGACTTGATTCATTGGATCGAAAGACTGCATTACAAGCCAGCCTTTAATGCATGTCTTTGCAGACGTATCCGGTAGCATAAGTCCATAGGCTTTGCTGCTACCAACCTACAGGGTGGCAGGAAGTCTGTGAGATTTTTCTAGAGGACTAGTCGATACTCGATAGTATTGTTACTGTTAAAAACACCTGAGAAGTATTACAGATAAAGAATAAGGTCACACAAGGTAACAATGAACCGACAAAAATACCGTACCGTGAGTCTGCAAATGATGTAAAGTTTTAAATCTGAGAGGGAGTCATAAACATGCTCAAGTTTAAGTTCTCTGAAAACGTGCACGTGTGGCTTATGCCTCGATCACATTTGATCTACGACGACCGTACGGTGACCGTAGCTTCCCAAAATCGAGATAAATATGGAGCATAAGATATAGGGATAAGCAGTACGATGTTGGTAGTCTATATCTATTGTGTGAAAATGCGACCGCCGTACGATTGCCGTTAATATAGCACATGTGACTGAGGCTTAATCCTCCCAATAGTGGCCCCCACCCTGTATGTGACAAACATGCCGAATAAGGCCTCGATATAAATGTGTATGGACACGAATAGGAAAACAATGAGGCAATAATTACTATCAGGCCTACGGGAGCTGGTTCTGAATCACCCATTTCTATTATGAATAATTTAAAAGCTTTTCCATCGATTGATAACATCATCAAAGGACAATTAATACGCTGAAGCCAACAGGTAGCTAAGCTCAGATCGATTTCAGTTGTAATACCATCCACTTGTCCGCAATCAATCTGTTTATCTGTAAATTGTCCGTCGTTGGAATCCTTCCTTTTAGTTGTTTATTTTTATGAAGAGATAGCGTTGAGTACACTTACTTTTGGTTACAAGATGAAATGGAATTAAGACTTATTGTTATTGAAAGTGGGTAACGATACATACGTTTTAAAGAATAAGACTTTAAAGACATAAAACATCATTTTAATATACACTTCAAGGTCAGTCATGGTAATTATTACCACCAGAAGTGACGGTATATTGTTATAGTCTCTAATTTTTGTGGACGGTGTTCGGCTGTGTTTGGCATTCGGGGATTTGTGTCGGCTTTGTAACAAATGGCAGGTGGTGCATGTTATTGCTTTGTCTAATATTTCATTTTCACTTTTCGTCATTTTCAAATGTAAAGCATAGGCGTTGAACCACTTACGGTACTTCTAATATAGTTAATCTATTCATTATTCATGTCAGAAAATTAAACCATTATTACGCCATTTTTACAAACATTAAGAAATTATGTACAAAGAGTTCCAAATGTTTTGCATTTTTATCTTATTAAAACACCGTATATTTATACATAGTAAGTACAAAGTTTACAATACATGTATGTAATGTGTATGCATATACATGCATTCTAATAACGTAATATGAATATACATACATTGAATATAACAGAGTTGATCAGAGCGGTGCATTGTTTGGAGGGGGGGGGGGGGGTTGATGGGGTGATGCGAGATAAGTTCAACAATAAGAGGTGGGCAAAATGTAAAAACAGCCCTATCAGAAGTAAAGACTATTCAAACTGGATTCCGTTGATATAAAATGTACCCATCGTTAAGCATATGTGTTCATCTCTTTAGACCGTGTTGAAATATGACAATGATGAAATTACATTCCCAGGTAATACTCAATAGGTGCTGGTACCGCAACCTTCACATTGTCTCCAAGTTCCGGGTATCATACTTTAACTTGTTGACCACACAAAGAAAAAAATCCTATAAAATGCCAATCTTGAGGAGATTATTTATTTTTATTTCTCTAGTGAAAGAATTAAATCACAGTGATATACTTTATTAATTTTTCATCCATTAATGCGATAGATTTAATCGCGTTTCGGATGTGAACGTTCCACCGGCAGTTTCCCTGAATACTCCATTAAATATCTACATAGTAATTACGCTGAGTTACCATGGAAACGCACATTGCATGTCTATGGTAACAACAATTCAATAAATAATATTCGAAAAATAAAAGATTTCCTTTGGAAAGAATTTCGATATTGCTATTTCATGACGTATTGAAAAAATATATTTCGACGAAATGTGCCTTTCTGTTCATAAAATATGAGATAATTACATAAATGTTTTTCATCTTTTCCTCCTATGTTTCCCCAGTTAACATTAAAATATGCATCAATCCTATTACTTATTGAAGGGTGATAAAATTTCTTCTTGATTGATCAGTTTCCAACTTATAATTAACAAGTAATTTTTCTTAATGTCTTATAAAAAATTAAGAAGACATACAGGTGCAAAAACACTGTCTATTGACAAATTGATTACATATTAAATATTCAACATGTTGGATTCATATTGAGTTGTTTTATCTTGTCATATAATACTTTAAGTCTATACCTTGTTCATTATATATTAGTTAGGCATTAGTTATATTGATACATCTTTCATATGGTGATTAAATGAAAATACGAGACACCTTAATAAGTTAATTTGTGGGTATCGCAAAACACAGAGATTTCATGATGTCAATAAGTGCTTTTTTGTTTTATGGCAATATATGTTTGACGCCATTATATGGTTGATGTCAATATATGTGTGATGTCAAATGAATTTGATTTCAAATTTCAGAAGTACTTTTGAAATGGAAGTGTTTAATAGAAAAATGTGGAAACTTTCAAGTGGCATCACATACAATCAACATTTTGGGTACGGTATCTTGTTAGATGAATGGTAATATAGGTTGTTGTTGTCATGACGATACACAAAGCAGACGTCAATATAAGACACGCTTTGTCAATTTTACAATTCTCGATCAAAATGACACACACTTTTCAGTTTCACAACAATTAGCAAAATTATTGTACAATAGGATGCGTCATTAAGAATGAAACCTGAAGCAAAACCAGAAACTGATGGAACAACGTCAACAAGTCTAATGTACTTGTTGCTCGGAAAAATCAATCATTCATTGATATTTACTAGACCTTAGGGGGGAATTGATGGTGTTTTTATACCATCAACTGCCGTATTAGCAATCCCTTCTGAAATATAAACTCCCAATCGATTACATACAACATAGAAATGCACTCCCATTGTAGTACACATTACAAAACATTGTCCTATTTATTATTGAATTCCATGATGTGAATGATCATTGTACCATAGATTCTCAAATTAAATCCATTTCGTTTTTATGGTTTGTACTATGACGATTCCCAGGATTTGTAATGGTCCAATCGATATTTTACGTATCTTGTCGTTAATATATTTGTGCATGCAAATATACAGTTCGAGTCATCGGGGGATCAACCGTTGGATTGATTTCAGATAATATCCATAATATGTGTGTTCTGATATAACATTACTTCCTGGAATACTGTGTGTATATCCTATATGCATGTTTCTTTGTTCACTTTATGAAACCCAGATCGATTATGTGACGATTTTAAGGTGAAATTATGCCAAAACCTTCGGTTCAACCAATTTATGGTCTCCATCAGGATGCTCAAGGCCGGTGTGAAATGTATCATTGTCCCAAGGCAAAAGTAAAAATAAAAAATGCTGATTCAGCATTATTTTATAGTTTTCCCGATTAGATCCTTATGCCCTAGCCCTAAAAGGAATTTTATTGATTCCTTGAAGCACATTCGGCCACCTTCGTAATATAAGCATCTAGCGGTGCATGCTGCTCTCCCGTTCTGATGTAATACAAGGTGTCCCAAAAAAGGAAACTGAGATTAAATTGCTTGTTTTTCAAAGATGAATAATGTTAGGGAAAATTCGCAGGTACCATCATTTGGGTCTTTATGTCTTCTTTCATATGATACAAAATGTTCTATTTTTACCCACAGATGACTGAGCAATGAGAGATTTAAGTGACCATGTCAGAAATGGGGTTGTGCCACTTTCAGCCAAGTCAGTTTCACTATCATAGCATAGTGATAAGTAACAAAAAACATCAGGATATTGCTCTTTTACTCATTCTATTCCAAGAAAAGTTACACGTATCATATTTTACACCACTTTTAAATCCCAATGTCCATTCAAAGTTGTTTTAACCACAGTGTCCTTAAACATGACCCCTATTCCTTTCAATGCAAATGTCTGCCCTAGATCTCATCGCACGTACTGCATCCCCGATGATGTCTCTCTGTCCCCTTAGATTATCAACTGCTGCAACTAACCCGGCCCTTAGATCATCAACGTCTCTTGGTAATGTTGTGTAGACGTTATCCTTAAGATAACCCCAAATAACCATCCTGGCTTAGCTATTTTATTCCCCCATTGTTCAGTCATTCATAAAAGAAAAAGTGGCACAAACCCATTTCTTATATGGTCACTTAGATCTCTTAGACCTCAGTGATCCGTGACGGAAAATAGACAACTTTAGTATTATAAGAAAAGAGGACATCATATCCTATCAGATGGTAGCTGTTAAATTTTCCTAATATTATTCATGTTTGAGAAATAAACACGCCACCAGGTGGCCAATTAGGGAGAAATAACATTGCAGGGTATTTCAATGTTCCCTTAAAACTTGAATTAAATAACTGATGAATATTCAAGTTTTAAGGAAACTTTGTAATACCCTGCCATGTTATTTCCCCCGAATTAGCCACCCGGTGGCTTGCTTATCAAATTTGATAAACTCTTCAAAACCACATTTCTAGATGTAATTTTACATGTAGTTTCCAAATATGACGTCAGTTTGACTGAACTTTGAATTTTCAATGACGTATACAGTAAATCAAGATTATTTGCACTCGCATCTAGTCTATCAAATCCCGGTTTCCTTTTTGGGACACCCTGTACAAAAAGTGCTGTGTCCTACAAAAGATGGCACAACGAGCTCAATGTTTTCTCTATTTCAATCAAATAGCTTATATCATGGGCTTATATAATACTATAAATCTATGTATATAATTCTTAGATATAAAATGGTTTGTAATTTGTAATATACATATTTACAGAAAAGTTATCATATGACGGAAATATTTAAAAACTATTCCAAAGATCATTTCCTCTCTAAAATCAGAGTTATCATTTTTAGAATTATCCCACACTATGATATCTTTCCCAAATATAATAACTTAAAAATGTTTAAATAGTGCAAATGTCATTAAAATAGGCACAACAAGAAATATGTCGTTGGATAAAAGTCTGTATATCTTCATTTTTCAGATTGCAGCTATTAGCTATAGGAAGAAGGCTTAAATACAGAACTTTCCTTTCGCAAATCAAAATGGATGTGACACACGCTATAGCTATTACACAGCGTGCTGCTATCAGACAAATATGTTATTTTTCTTTTTGTATAAAATCTTATAGCTAAAATCCCAGCTATGTAGAATCATACAGTTTATGATGTTCTTGTCGATTTCGTTCTTCTTGTAAGTATATTGGAAACCATTCTTACTGCAGTGTCCACGATTACTCAAAAGGCAACGCTGTAATACTCAACGTAAATACGTCATTTGACGCATGACGTCATTTGGCGCAAATTCGTCATTTGTCTTTGGAAGCCTTTATGTTAAATGGTCATATTGCTCATTGTGCACATTATTACTGCTAGGTCTCAATAGTGCCCATACTGTTTGTTGTATCTGAAATAGGAAAATATGTCAATGATAATAGGCCAAATCTAATGTTCTATACACGCCATGTAATTTATACCAGTTTATAGTAAAACGTACCGCGTATAAAATACGCTTTTAGCAAAACACCGCACTTTTCCGGTTGGAACTGTGGTAGTGACACCTATCATTCATTTCCTAACTTTCTATCATGAAAATGAATTTACTATTTCATAAAGTCATGATCCACTGACGTGACACCTATAAATCAATGTCATTCTTTTTATCGTTAATTGTACTGCAACTTTTGATCACTGTTTCAGGTGGGTGGAGATGAATGCGAATCGTGGATTTATCGTCTCATCGGTATTCGTTCTAAACACTTTTTTAAAATAAACTACATACTTAAAGTGGATAAACCTCTTGAGTGCCAGAGCATTTCCAACTTTTGCCATTTTTATAATGTTTGATATTTATTCGGATTCTTGGATGGGAAGAAAATATTTTCTTCATCCTAGTTCTGATTGTATAAGTAAACCTAGAGCAATTACACTCATTTTAATACATAATTTGTGTAAATTAAACACAATTTATCAAAGTTATCAAATCTTGCTACTAATATATCCGTTGCTCTTGGTATGCAAGAGGTTAATGAAACTATGACTACATATATACTGCATGCAACGTCGCTGAATATGTATGGCATATTTGTATTAAACTTCACGAACATCAGTTTAGAACAATGCAAAACTGATCTTCCTTTCAAGAACCATAAAGGAAAAAGATGGGATATAGAGTGTTAGCTAGAATCAATGCACAATCCTTGTATTAATCTTACTAAGATGCACTGATTATAATGCATGGATGCGCAACGTGGGCGTAAATTCATCCAGCTTGGGCAACAACAACACTCCCCTCCATAAGTTTGGCAACCTTTTTCCCCATTGAACTACGTGTTAAAGCCTCTTTACCTTTGAATTTTTATTTACTTAACCGGCGATGAAAATACTTATACTATTGATGGAAACGTAATTTGACTTTAATTCCAATACCTCCAAATTTTCTCATTTTTTTTATTACAATAGGTCGAATATTGATGACACGTAGTTCAATGGAGAAAAAAGGTTGCCAAACTTATTGAGGGGAGTGTATATCTTACTTGTAATGTTTGCTCTGGACCACTCCAGCTGGGGATTGTTGTAGTGATTCCAACTATCGGAAGGACCAAAAAGAGATGCTGAAACAAATTATTCAAAATAGGTAACCTCTCCCTGTCTGATTAGTTGCTATATTTATGCCTCCATAATACCCTATATATAATATTATTAATGCCCCAGCCTCATATGTCTACAATATATTTTGCCATACAATTTTACCCCAGACTTTGGACCAAATAAACAAGATAGGGTAACGTATACAGTAAATATATACTTTTAACGAATAAGATTGTCCTTTGGTTTTAATTAATTTCTTGAAAATAACTTTATTTTTGATTTTAAAATAGCTTTTAAACTTTTAACGAATAAGATTGTCCATTTGGTTTTAATTTCTTGAAAATAACTTTATTTTTGATTTTAAAATAGCTTTTAAATGCTGTTTTCTTCCCCTGCTGGACTTAATTCTATCTCGTGTCCAACTTCATACAATGAGAGAGAGAAGGGAGTGGGGGTCCGATCCCTTCCTGGCTACGAGCCTGATACAAAAGTCCTTTAAGATTCGAAAGATACATGTACGTACCTACTCCTACTCCGATGCTAGCCGCTGTGACTAATAGCAATATCAGAAGACCCAATGCGATTAACATCCGATATTTGAATCTGCGTTTCTGCAATTCTTTTTCTTTTATATGGTCTATGATGTCTTCGAATGAGTTACGTTTAGCAGGTATCCCTTGTTCGGACCGTACTAAGTAACCATCGTGAGGTAACGGCTGAAAGAAAATGATAAAATTAACAAAATGATTTTAATGTGTGTTTTAAAGAGGTTTACACTTTTCATACTTTATGGTCATTTCTTGCACTTCCTCCATAAGATTGGCAACTTGAATTCGCCATTGTAAAGCGTGATAAGGGGTGCACCCCAGTTGTCCGAAACCCTGGGTGGACCCCGTTATAAGCCTATTCATGGTTGGCTTATAATCATGTTCCTCAAACACACTGAGTTAGTATGGGTTGCCAAACCCTTAGGAGGGAGTGTACATCACGTGGTGCTTAATCGTCTAAGGCAAAAGTATAAAATGATTAGGCTAGTCAGGTATAGTGTACGTGGACGGTGACCATTTTTAGATTAAGGTTTGTAAATGTTCACGAAATGCTTTGAGTATCAGAATGTTATACAAGGCATCAACATGCAAAATGCCACGCCCTGCCATTTGTTACAGACGCCGATCACCGCTCGCCAAACGCTGCTCGTCGAGCACCAAACGTCAAACACCATCCACCAAAAATTAAAGACTATCACAACTTGTCACCATTTTTGTGGTGATCACATACTAAATGGACCAGGAATCTCATTTTCTTTCTGGAGAGAGTACTTTTCGTCATTTCCTCGGTGTACTAGTACATTGAATTCGATTTAGTAATGTTGGGCAAGCTATAATACGTGTACCACTCATTCAATACCATCGTATCCCATATTCCCATGTGTGTTCATGAGATAATCGAGGCATGGGATACCATAATAATAACATTAGTCAAAATATACGTAGCAATTTGATTTGTGATGTGAGGTAGTGACCCGTATGTTACTCCAACTGAACGTGTGAATGCTTCACTAAAGGTCTTTATGTTTGATTCGGGGCACACCCAGTTAAAGAAAAACAGATAAAAACATTGTAAACCATTTTTACCGCTTCCCTGTAATAAAAAGAAGATAAAAATTTATATGAAGTGGGAACCGAACTACAATGATGTTCATCACGTCGGTTGGATATAAAGATGAATGGGGTTTGTTCAATATAAACAGACAGATGACTCAAATCATTGAAAAGGATAATTAAAAACACAAATTCTGAAAATTCACGAATACGTCATTTAGTGACCTTTTGACGGCTATGCAGTTTCTTACGCCCAAACGTGATAGTCATTTTTAGTTTACTTTCTCTCAAGTGGTATCAATAGGTATCAATGAAACCTAGATATCTTCAGATCGACATATATGATATCGATTTGCTAAACAACCAATCAAGTCAACCGTGAAACGATCAAACAATCAAACAATCAATCAGTAAACTGACCAACGCCGTCGATCAATTCACATCATACGAGACATGACCATTTACTACTTCCTGTATATTTTCGATTTTTATTTTAATTTAGATTAAAATATGTCAAAAGAAAAAAAGTCGCAGATTAAAAAAGGAGGGTAGGGATATCATTGGTGAAAAATTGTCTGTAAGAGACTTTATTTAAATTACGTTCGTTTTATTTTCTCCATCCTTTTCATTAATGTTATTTCATGAAAAAGAACGCGAAGATTTATCGGGTTGATCTAAGTTCAAGGGTATATCCATCCCAGTCTTTAAAGAGACATCATAAAATTATTTAAATGAATGGGAAAATTTTGTAAGTGAAATCTTATTTAGCATTGCTTTCCGTTCAACGTCGTCTATGCAATACCAAAACACTTCATCATTTAACATTTAACAACTGTCTTATAGGAAACTGTCTAAGGAAAACCTTAAAGAGAGAATAGCTGTAATTTAGCTCTTAATAACCCCATTATATTTTAAATCCATGAAGTAGTAATTGAATAGACTTGGGCACGAACCCTCTTTTTGAAAGTATCAAAGTTTGATAAAAATCGTCACCAGGAAAGCAATATGACGGCTTACAAAATTGAAGAGTCTACAGTTACAGTTATAAAAAGCAATTTATTATGGAATCACCAGAAATGGTGACAAATTGTTGTAATCTCCAACGTTATTGTGGAAAGCAGCCGGTGTTCGGCGGTTGACGTTCGGCGTCTGTAACAAATGTCAAGTGGTGATATTTATCATGTTATTTTTCAAACATTTTTGAAGCTTCAATCCTTACAAAAAATAAGGCTCCTGTATAAGTCTATTGATTGTTTAAGCTACATATTTATTTTATTTATTTATTTAGATATACACTTTTTTAACAGTGGCACTCTTACATTAAGGTGCATCTAATCGAAAGTATCCACAATGCCATGTTGGTTAAAAACAGAACATCTTATCAAACTAAAATGAGTCATAAAAAAAATTAAAACATAGGTATGTTAATATTTACTTAAAATCTTATTTAAAAAGCTTTTTACTAAAGAGTCGAATAAAACACCATATTCGTGCCCCCCAAAGATGTATACCTCACCTCCCAGTAACCATTTCAATTTTGTGTCAGTTGGGGCGCTAAAGAATATCCCTGTTAAATGTATGGGAATTTTATCCTCAAGTATTTTATAAAATTTGGATCTTTCCCCTGCAAAATTAGAACAAAATAGTAATCTATGTTCTATATTCTCTTCTATATCAGAGCATAAATCACAGAATGGGCTATTAACTTGTACATTTGCCCATTTATATGTTTCACCTTTAAGACCTAGTTTCCCGGTCCGAGCAAGAAATTTTAATCGTGCACTTGCAAAATCAAAATCATTTCTTAAATAGTACTGTAAACCTTTATGTTTAAGATCTATAAGCTGTCTATACAGTGTCAAGGAAGACTTTCCATTCATTTCAGTTTGTATCTCAGAGTCGCATCTCTTCTGAATAGAAGGTTCATAATTTTCTATCAAAGTATTTAAGTTATTGTCAATGCCATCCTTCTTCAAAGGACTTCATTTATGCTTAAATTCAGCCCTTCACTCAAGCCCAGGTAGATTCATTCTTGGGGCCTTATATAAGCTGAGTTTCCTAGTGGTCAACGCAGAATATGCGTTGTGCAAATTGTCCAATTACATGTCTCATTTCCTGGAACTTATGAATAATCTTACCATTTGTGTCTCTTCAAACCACCTTATTATTGCAGTATTCTTTTTCTTTTTCGTGAAATTGTTAAATATTTTAATTTTGGACATACTATAGAATGTTCTACGGATGATGTTTTATTCTTAAAGCTAATATTTTTATAGATCCTATGATTTTTTTGGTAAAGATTACAAACTTCTAAGTCATAAGCTATGTAAGGGCATACCACTATAGTATAAAGACAGCTTTGTGGACCGTTCAACAGGATTTTAATTACCCTTGTACACTGTGTGTAGTAGTTCTCTTAGGGTATGTGGTGTAGGCTAATATTGTTTAATGCCAGTTTGTTTGCTCAAGCCCAACAATTGAATAGAGAGAAGCAATTGTAAAATACCCTTGCAGCAAGGATGTGTCAATGCCTTTAAGGTCTATCAGTTTAAAGATATCATCTATGTGCTCGACATATTTCCAACTATTTGATTTGTTACATGCAAATCGTTCTTGCATTCTTGTTAGTAGTAATCTTATGAATGACCCCTGATCAAGAGTCTGTAAATGGAGAAAATATTGGATTTGTCGCTTGAGGACTATGTACTTAATTGGTGTCCAACCAAGTTCATTAATGATAGCAACATATGCAGGGGTACTTTTTATATTGAAAATACCCCTGGCCATGTCATATTGCATTGTCCTGAGTTTATCGAGGATGGTCTTGGTATTCGTAACCCAAACACCACAGCCATGTAACAGCCCCGAGAGGAATTTTGTTGTATAAAGCGTATTACCAAATTCAATACGCTTAGCATTTAAATGTTTGTTCAGTATAAATGTAATAAAGTTCTTCAGAGTCTTTGACTTTTGAATTTGTTGATCAATTATGTGGTAGTTATCTTTCAAGGATCGATCAATATGAATACCTAAATATTTATAGGTTTGGACTTCTTTTAAGTTGAGATCACCTAATCTCCATAACTTGTTCTTATCAATTTTCTTGCCTATAACCATGACTTTTGATTTTTTCTCACTAAACCTAAAACCATATTTAATAGCAAAATCATTAGTGACATTGAGCATCTTATTAAGATCATTTTCAGAATTGCCTAAGAGTACTATATCATCGGCCCACATGAGGCTAGGGAATTTTGAATTATTAAATGTAATACCTACATCAGATTTTAAAAGTTCATCTTGAAGGTCAGTCATGACGATTGAAAATAGAGTAGTTGATAAGGTACAACCCTGTTTGACTCCGCATTTTGTATTAAACCATTGGGTATTTCCATTATTATTATTATTTTCGTTTTGCAAGCCATTGTTATTGTCGTTATCTATGAGGTTTTCATTACAATTATTAGATAATTTGACCTTGGTTCTTATTCCTCTGTACATTTCTCTTATGAGTCTCCAACATTTACCGCGGACACCTTTCTCCCATAATTTTATGAACATAAGGTCCCTGTCCATTACGTCAAAGGCCTTTGAAATGTCCAAAAAAGCCAAGTAGGTCTTTTGGTTTTTATCTTTCCTTAAACTGCACAGAGACTTAAGTTTGAATACATGATTTTCTAAACGTTGTTTGATTCTATACGCTCCTTGGAAGTCACCAAAAATATTTTTATCTTCACAGAAAGCCATCATTTGCTTGTTGATTATGGAGCAAAAAAGTTTAAATACATTAGAAGTAAGGGAAATACCTCGAAAATTATCATTCTTTTAAGGGTTACCGAGGAGCAAAATTACAGTTACCAGCCCTTAAGTCAAGTTGGTTTTTTAATAATGACTAAAATCACGCTTACGATTTCAAGGGACAGACTTCCTATTTATTTTCGTCCTTCTTCCCCTATTACTATTTTTACGTTAAGAACTCATTTTCCCGTTTTCAACATTGGGTACTAGATCGATGAAACCATGGGTGCGTCGTAAAACGTCTGATGAATTTGAAGGTAACCCTATTAACATCTGATTAGGGCAAATTCTTATAGTTATCATTTGAAATAGCCCCACTTCTACTACTTCCATTGCTCAAACGTTATACAAGGAACAAAACGTGTCTTTCCCCATCGGGGTAAGGGAGAATGAGGGCAGTTGATGGAAACCAGTGAATGGTGCAAGATTTGTCCGTCTCCAGGTAGAAATAGCTTGTGCATTGATACTAGGCATAAACGGTTGTAATTAGATATTCATATAATCAAATGTAATTGGAACATTAAATCCTCGGACACTCGCCTCTATTATAACGGTATTCTTTTTTGTATTATCCTATATTCTGAAAACAGGAAACCCAAATTTTCAATATACCCTTCCGCCTACCTCTTTTGGGGATAATCTGTATGGGATGATGAGGCCTCCATCTTTCCCTAAGCTCTGTATACGGTCAGACATCATCTCGATCCAAGTACAGAATCTGCATTCGTTCTTATCATCCAAACTACATTTACCAACGCTAGGGTTACTGTTTATATCGATAATATGGTGACGACGAATGATTCTTGGACAGTAATGCGACCTATGCTGGTTATCCCAATACCTTCGATTTCTCCGCTTAACATTGACGAAACCGTTTGGCATATAACGTTTATTATAGCAATATCATTTTCCGCCGTTATTTCCCCTTTTGGCTGTTTGGTTACATCTCTTACATGTGAGAATATCGAGTGAAGGAATTTCCGAAGACTTTTCTTAGTTGTTGTTGTGTACAATGCAGAAAAAATCGTCTTATAAATATTTTATTAGATGGTAGTAATCTCTCAAAGGATAACGAACTTGGTCGATTTCAGTTTCCAGTAACTCACGAACGCTTAACTTCTACATCAACTATTGAGGTGTATTTCCTGTGATTACACTTAACACGGTATGTCCCTAAATTGTCCCGGTTATGATAGTGAGGGTTAATGGTGCATCGGTCTCATCCTTTGTCTATCCCTTTCATTTATAAAAAGGACGTTTTATCTTCGCTATAGAACAGTAGCCGAAGAACATCTATTTTGAAATTTTTCTATTCACAAAAATCACCACGCCTTAGCAACCTTTTGATGCGCACTTTTTATGACCTTTTATTTGACTTCGCCGATCCCTAAATTGAGATTGTATTTTATTTCGACAAGTCTAAGTAATGGACCCGAAGTGTGTAATCAATTTGATACTACTTTATAAAAAATGATCGTGAAACGAAAGTTAAGTAAAGAGTATATATTTATACCCTGCGTGCAGAGTCTAGTTAAACTACACTCTGCCTAGTAGAGACCATATTACAGTTTAGTAGCCCCGCCCCCACGACGGGTACCGGTGACAGTTTGGGTAAATCACTTTTGAACTACGCGCTGACCTTCCACCAATCAGCGAGCTTGAAGAAACATACGCCAAAAGCGTTCTAATTAAATATGCTTATGTCATTGGTCAATTCCGGGCTCAACGATGACTTCAGAAGGAATGACCATATAAAGAACGTCGGTCAAATTTGGCCGACAGACACTGATTGGCGCGGTGAGTTCACAGTTTTATTTTAGTTTGAAAGAGTGAAGACGGAGCTCTCTTTTAAGAAGTGAAGTCAAACGAATGCAAAGGGTAATATATTTAGGTTATAAAGTGAGATAATGGATTCAGACAAACACATAGATACACATTTCTAGTTTAAACGATTTTATGGAGGGGGTGGGGATTGATTTGTCAACATGGCATTTTCAGTTCTAGAGACTTAGATGGGGTGGGGTAGAATCCTTCTTATATGAGCAGGGGGAGGGGAGGTGACATGTCTTTTAAAGTCGTATGAACCCGGGGGGGGGGGGGCTTCAGACCAATTTCTTTAATTTGAATACATTCTAAAGCAGTCCGTCGTAGAACTGAATCTATTTATGACATCAAATATCACAAGACACGATAAAATATATTATATACATGTATGTATAAAAATATGATTCTGGAAAAGTGTATATTGTATATAAATAGTACAATGGGTACTGGGCTCATATTGCGTTAGTGCTTCCAATATAGACAGGTTGAACCTTTGGAAACCATTATAGACGAAAGATTGAGGTACACGTACAGTATAATTATAAGCAAATTGATGGAATATATAAGGATTGTTAACACAAAAGTGACATTTCGGCAATGTACGAGGTATTTTGCCAAAACTTCTAAACATTATAATTTGGACAATTGAAATAGCTTCCATTTTGAAACGAAGAAAGATGACATTTGATAATGGCGTTGGTATTTCAGGTTAATCCACAGGTTTTCAACAAATGGCAACATATGAAAAATACTGATAAGAAAGAATAGCAATAGTTACACTAAATGAGGAATGCATCAAAGGTGGACAACAATGAATATAACCTTTACACCCTTCGTAACTGTCAGTAACAATTACAATTGAAGTGAAAATCTAAATAATTCTTCAAACATCTGAATGTAATAACACTGACACCACAATAATTCTCTCAGAAAATAACAAACTAGATACTTGCAATATCATTATACGAAGATACCAAGGGGCTTTTAAACACATTTCTGACAAAACATGAACTTGTCGTTGAATATATTACGAGTTTTACAATATGGAACCGCAATACACTTCCAAGACGGAGTTCCATTTTGAATTCAGAGATCACCTAGATCCCCAAAATCTATAAACAAGAACACAATGAGTTCTAGGATATTATGCGCATATATTCCAAGTTATGAATAACATACATAAGGGTTATGTACTGGGAGGTTTTGGATACAGGGTTTATCCCAAGGGAAATATGTGAGATACACATATTTCCCGCAGGATAAACACTGTATCCAAAACCGACCGTACATAACAGATGTATTTCATACCTACTGAGGTTCTAGGTACATCATACCTAATAAAGATCCAAAATTCCAAAACATACTTAAGGTACTAGGCGTTTTCTTGGTCTTAAAGTTTGCGAGATTTTCAAAAATTTTGAAAAAAAGAAATTTAAAAAAAATTGAAAGAAAATGAGAAAAATGATTTTGAAAAAAATTGAAAAAAATGTGAAAATTAAATGTGAAAAAATTTTTCTACAAAATTTTTAACAAAATTGAAAAAAATGTGAAAAAAATTTGGTAAACATTTTTGGACAAAAAAAATTGAAAAAAAATTTTGAAAAAAGAATTTTCAAAAATTAAATTAAAAAAATGTACAGGAGCGGGACCGGGATGGATACAGCGTGTATCCATCCCGGTCCCTAGATACACTATATATTCCCGTTCGTTATGTACCTAGAACCTCAGTAGGTATGAAATGCATGTGTATAATATAATGGTTTACACTAAGTACTGTATGTGTCCTAAATTAACTATTTTTGCATGTATTGATAAGCGGCTTTTTATCTGATACAGAAATATACTTCATCATACCGTTCAAAAATGTTTTATTACAGAACATGTGCATTTCGAAGTGCCCATTGGACTATGTGCTAAAGTCTTTTAATGCTTGAATTTTAAGACAATCTGTATAGTGAATGTCATTTAGGCTAGCAAATTGAATTGCCTACATTAATATATTAAATTCTTTACCACAAAGAATTTGTTTTGAGGCGAAGCAATGAGATCAACCTTGTTAACATGACAAAATGCGTTAAAGCAAGAAACAGTATCCAAATGTCAATATTGCCCAATGTTCCACTTTACGTGTAAGAAATGTGAGCAAATATATTTTTCTTAATTGAAATTACACAACAAGCAGCACAGATTGTTTACGATCTGCAGAAATTATATTAGTTATTTTCAATCTTTGAAAATTCTTGGACCTGGTAATATGATGAAATTCTATCATCAAGATATGCCAAGTGTTAACATCATTGCGGAGATCCTTTCTGGATCTGTTGCTGCAATGCTCCCATACAATTTGATACTTGCTTTGTTTTTCATTGTGCGAAATTTTAACTACTAAGCGAATGAATGCACATAGGTAGAAACATATTATATAAAGAATTTAAGTTATGTATCACTTATGACATACTGCTATATATGGTTATGGTCCTAAATTCGGATGGCTCCTAAATTAGGAAATTAGATCGAAGCTGGTCTTTAATCAGTGTTATGCATTTACAGCCTTGCATCTGCAATTCCCTTCGTTGTACGGCTATCCCCGTCAGACCCCTCATCTGCAGTAAGATTACACAATGAATGTAATGCAATGTGAGACTAGTTTAGGACATATTCAACGTCATTACCATATGCACTATATGAAAATAAGGAATGGGGTATGTAAGTCAGATATGTGCAGGAATATGTTTCAATGGACATACACGTTTATAAAAAAAAAGTTATGTCTATGAGAAAAGAACAATGCTTTTACAACTACCTGGCTTTGTGTGTGGCATTGAAGTGTGCATCGGATCAATTTTACTTTGTTTCTTAAACTTAATTGATACCACGATGACAATAATGACAGCGATAAACAGGAGTACTCCTACACCAATGATGATGCCAATCACATGAGGTGCCAAGCCTTGGTTTGGTAGTTTATGACAGCCTGGAAAAAGTTTTATGTACTTAATAATTATTTATGAGTAACATTCGGACAACACAGCGAGACATTATATTATTTTTAATCAGAGAGGTATCCGCATCCTAAATGTAAACCGCGTTTAAATTTAGGATCAGACATCAATCATCCCTCTTCATATTTTTATCTCCCAATGTTGTACACTTCCTTCTGAAAAGTTGACAATAAGAAGTTACCGTTCGAAAAATATGTTTAATTTATTTTCATCTTTATATTCGGCGGTTTTAATTAATTCATCGGTCTTATAGGTGCAATTACAACCTAAAGAAATCGAGGATTGAAATTAAGATTCACACTTGAACAGGCTTGTTTATAATGTTATCGAATCGGTATACATGTACTTGTTGTTGTCCAACTTATGCTTGTGTATTTACCTGTTATACTTGTCCATCTAGTGATGTTGACTGATACATCACACATGTCACAGAGATCTCCAAGTTTACTCTTTCCATTTTCATAACAGTCGCCATCAATGAAACAAAAGCCGGGGTCAAGGGTAAGGTAGTTCTTATTTGATTCTGGCTTGCAATTCATACATGGGACCCCCTCTTTAAAGTCACCATTCTCAAAACAGTCATTTCCAACCAAACACATGTTATTGTGCATAGACCAAGAGTTTGTGTTTTCTGTGACATTGCAAATGTTGCATTTATTGCTTGGGTCGGCTTCCAGTTGTTGAAAGCACATTCCATCAATAAGACAATGATCATCATCCAAAGTGAGGTTGCCATTGTTGATGTTTGGTTTGCAGTTCCAGCAATATGTGTCGTTTTTACGGAAACTTCCTTCAGAAAAACATTGAGTTCCAACCATACATTTACTATAGTCTCTCGTCCACTGATTTCTGTTTTCTGTTGCATTGCAAATTTGACAACTGTCATTCGCATACGATTGTAAATGAGCATAACACCTGCCATCTATTAAACATGCCTCTGCATTGACCTTCATCAAAGCAATACAATAATTGGGTCACCCTCTCCAATGGACAAATAATGGCATTTTTGATTTATAACAGATTGCAATTTTCTCATTATGTCCTCTTATGTATACAGTGTAAGTTAAAACAAACGAAATAAAAAAATTATTCTGTTATCACAATATTTCTTACAAGAAAACTTACATTTTGTGAGCAATTTGTAGACCCAAATCCTGTACAATTCAAACACAATGCGTCGTATGACACGAGGTCAATAGAGTCACTCTTAACATTACCATCATTGCTGACTTCAACTCTGAATCCAATCGCTGGAATTTCTATAAGAAAAATAAATTTCAAAAAGTTACTCAAGTCATAAATATCCATAAATTCTTTCAAAATTATGCAGTTTTCACGTTTTCACCATTCTGAACACTTTTCGCATGATTTTTTTTAGCCAAGACTGTAAAAGAAACCTGAAAAAGCTCCCCCTTGGTAAAAGCTGGTTACGGGCAAGATACTCATTCCTGGATCAAATCATTGACATGAAAATAAAATTAAACAATACTTTTAAAAATGTGAATCGACTCAAACCATATAATCAAGTCATATAACTCTTAATGACTGTTGTGCTCTAGGATGTTTCCTTTTCAACTATTAGAAGGTTTTGCAAAGATTTGGACACAACATCTGACATAAAAGTGTTCCTTTTTACAAATCGCGGGTGTTTGCTGAAACTGTTGATACACACCTGGAGTTATGGGTGTTTCTGTATAATTCGGCCGTACAGCTCGATCAGTCGGAAATAGTGGGCAAATAATTCTTTGGTATGAGTCGAATTGAGCCTTTGTAACAAGAATTTCGTCGTTCAAATCCGTGGTTCCATTTTGTCTAATCTATATCACATGGGAACTCGAGTTAGCTAATGAAAGTTGGTTTGCCATTCATTCAATATATTTAAGTCGCTGACTTATATCAAGACATAATGTGGGCCGAATGAAGATACATGTAGTACTAAAATAAAGGTGCCTCTACACATTATTCTAAAAAATAAAGTTAGAAAGAGCAAATAAAAGAATATTTTCATTTCTAGTTCGGATGAATGTCGATTAAAATGAACTACCGATTTGAACGTGACAAACAGATACTGGTATATCCACTTTGAAAAACTTCGGAGTTATATATACCTGTAATTGTCTCACATAACAAGTTAGATTTGATGCGTCCACGAAGTTTTCTCCCATTATCGGCGTTGCTCTACATGGTCTCAAACGTACGTCACACAATCCCCTCTCCGGGACAAATAGAAGTGTCGGGGGAGTTGACCGTTCAAGGGCACAGTCTGCTCCTGTGTGTTCTGCATCGCATTCGCACGTTCCATTCACACAATTCCCATGATCACTACAATTTCGTGGGCATAACTGGTTCGTGAATTCAGATGGAGGTCCGACAGGATCACCTTCGTCGTTTATATCCCACATAGATATGTTCCGTTCAACCACAGAGGCTACCTCTGTCCGGAGAGATTCAAGAGTGTCTTCTAACCATTCAGTTCCATCTGTAAGCTATACATCGTCATGAATTTCAATTGTTAGTTGTATCATTACATATAATATTCATACAGTCTGGCACAAGTATTGCAACACCTACCATTATATCTAGCACGCATCCTCTGATGTAGGACTCAAGTTCTAGACTTTCGGGTAGACTCTGTGAAGCACTTGCTGCACTCGTGCTGTTAATAGCTGCTGTACAAAATTCCAAGGCGTTTTCTTCTGTCCACCCAGACGCCGTTGGCCACTGAATATCACAAATGCTTCAATTAATTCCAGGTCAGTTAAGACATATATGTATCATCTGGGGGAGATTCCATCTGGGCCCTATACGAATACAGGCAAAGAAATAGACTCCAGAATTTTATCTGGAATCTAAAAAGAAAAAAGAGAAAGGCAATATACTCCAGATCTACCCCGAGTCTAACAAGTTTAACCTCAGAAAATAATGAACCAATTTCAATTTGGTTTGCTGTTATGAAATGCTCATGTGGTCCACTTTTAAGGCTGAGAGTAGGTGATTTAATGCGATGTTTGAAGGAGATCTCGATCAGTCTCAGTCAAAGTCAGTAATACTTTCCAAAATTTGACACATTTCTGTTAACGAAGTCTTTAATCTCGAAACTGATGCAAAACATTTAAAAGAATAATTTACTCGAATGTAGAAATGCCTTAAAGAAATGATTGACTGGATTTTGGACAAAGATATTGAAATAAAATATCTCTATCGGTAAAACTGATGAAGTTAAGACTATTGAATTTTAAAAAATAAGTCTAGAGATTTTGATATAGTTTTTTTATGCTAAAACTACAGGGTGGGCTAAAAATACCAATACCCAACTTTAAACCAGGATAAAGATAGCTATGTGCAACATGATACATTGATTTATATATCATTTTAATAATAAAACATTTTCAAACAATTTGGTATATAACACTTTGCCATAAAATCAATATTTAAGTTTTATTATACTTATTTTGGAGGCCGGGTCGCTCTTTCAGGTCTCCAGATTTTAGGGAGATAGTAGATCTGAGGATCTGATCTAATTTTTAATTTATAGATTATCATATTGTTAGGTGAATACATGCTTGTTTATTTGCATAGTTGTGTGACAGACCTTATTATTTATGAATTTCAGTGTTGTTCATTATTAATAAGTATAATGGGTCTGTTAAAAGACATTAAACGTACATTTTGCGAGGATTTTATTTCCCAACAATACATTGTTTTGTACCATAGATCAAATGAGACTTTGGCATTCCATTACGAAAAAGTGACGTTTTTTAAAAATGGATTGCAATGGGCATGGTCAAAATGCTACTAACATGATGAATTAGATTTTCAGCCCTCTGAAAATTCGACTGAAAGAACTTCTTTCGGAAAGATCACCAAACAAGAATCTTTTGATTTTTTCAGAAAATGTGTATTGACTTCAGTATGAATGAAATGTCCCTTGGTGTTCTGGTCCTGGATTGTTATTGGTTCTCGATTGGAGGGGAGGGGGATGTTAGACATTCTTTCTTTTCACGTTAGATCATGGTCTTAGGATATATAGGGTCTACTTTTTCTTATGACAGATTTACACTTACAGTGCTTTTCTGTGTGGTTTCTTTAAAGTTTTTAGTCACCATTCCCTTTGGCTTTTGCGCTTATATATCCAATGCATTCTTCAAATAATAGGAGCTTTGAATATTTGAATTCCCCAGAAATAGAAAAATAGAAAAAACGATTTGATTAGTGATCTAATTTTCTTCTTATGACCGCCATTTTGTTTCAATTACCTTTGTAAAGTTACATATAGTAAGGGTTTAATGCAATTAATACATTTGTGGCATCGAGATCCTTTGCTTATGTTACCCTGTATTACAGATTACTGGCATTGTTTTCTTTAATATGTATGTACATACTTTTCCACTGGAATGGAACATTTCGACACCTGTATCCAAATTGTCCAAAATGTCTTCCTGCAAGTCCTCATCTGTAGGATACACGTCGTCGGTAAAATACCCACTTCCCATCATTGTAAGACTGCTCGTTACATTGCAAGCATCTGCGCATGAGAGTTTTCCTTTTGATGTACAAACACAATATTGTCTCAAGGTATCTTTCGGTGGAACCCCGTTATTCAAAAATCGCGTGTCTGTTATTCTGAAAGTAATCACGGAATGTGTAGATGCATGCAGGAGGTAGCAGTAATGTCCAGAAATACTTGATGGCAATTATCACACGCATTTACAATCCACCATATTTAGGGAGCTGGGCCTAGAGCCGGGGGGGGGGGGGGGGGGTACTCCCATAAATCGGCTATTTGGGGACGTGCCGCTAGCGTGGGTCACTTTTTCAGCAAAAAATCTATACATGTGGGTCCCATTTTGAAGGAAAACCCCTAAATATGGGTCCCGTTTTGATGAAAAAATCCCCAGAACTTGGTCTACTTTTTGAAAATCTTAAAGATGCATTATGCCATAGGTTTCTCCCCAATGATGTCCTATTGTTATTGCTCATATAATACCTCACATACCATGGATATATCTTGAGAATAACGTTTGGGTATATTATTGCCGAAATATAGGAAATAATCAACAGAACAACCAAACTCAAGAATTTAACACAATCGATTCCTCGGCTATCGAGGGGAATCCCCATTGAGTCACACAAGCGCCTTGAACCAGGGAGCTAATCAGGTTTATGATAAACAAATTCAACGACCAATCAGATAACAGGAGGACTTTCCCGGAATATTCAAACTTAAGATTGAATTAATTAATTCGAAAATATTTAGATCGGCCAGCACAATCGCAAAATTAACACTGAAAGAGGGGACTTCTTCTTTGGCAAGTCGATAGGTGTATATGTGGTGAAACTCAATATGCACAAAAGTCCAGAGGGGTCTTTATTTTGCTATCCTATGGAATAGAGCCTCTTTAAAACTGGGTATTGTTTTGAAAAAAATTGCCAGAAGTGGGTCTTTTTAAAAATTACTTTAAAGTAGGTCTATTTTTGAAAGAAAAACCCTAGATGTGGGTCCATTTTTAGAGAAAAATCCCTAGATGTTGGTAGATATTTTGAATCTCAGCGGCACCCCCCTGTACAAAACGTTGAGCAGTGCCCCCTCAAGAAGGCGATTAATTAAAGAGATCATTGCGAATCATGCTCACGATAGGCGTGGTTTCGAGGGAATGATGACAAGTGGAAGTCATCTCCAAAGGCCAATCTGTAGTCATCTCAGTTTGCAAGTGGAAATGATCAGTTCCACAGGGGCACCCTCTATCAGGTATTCCTAAAGCCCTAAACCCGAGGAGGGCGGACTACTGATGATGCACAAACGACTACTGAAACAGACCTCGACCGCTCGTCCCTGACCTTGCTCAATGAGTTCTACTTGCTGAGAGTAGCAAAGCGTGGTTATGTTTATCTAAATGAAATTAACTACTGGTACTCAAATTCATACTAAATATCATTTTGATTGGTGGTATGTCAGTCTTCACCCATGGCCATTTTAAGTATGTTGACAATTCATTAGCCGATAGGCGGATTTTCCCAATTTCTCGAATTTTTGATTGATTAATCCATGCTGCTTCCCTTTTTTAAACCATCAAACAGATCACGATTGTCTGTGTTTTCTCCATTGTCGTTTACAGTCATTACGCGAACGTTAAAAAATTATGAACAAATATGCGAGTGGCGATTATGACGTAGCGGGCAGATATACTATATCTGCCCGCTCGGAGCGGGACGTAAAGCTATATCTACCCGCTGATGAAAATATAAGTTTTTACAAACCGGCTTTATGTACCCGTAACACGTCCAAGTATGGGATAAAACCAATTATGTGACGTTGGGGTAAAAACACCTTTTCAATTTTCATCGATTTTGCGAACAATAGCCTATTTCGACCAAATTTTACTGTTCAGTTCAAAATTGCATCATTGTCGCGAAACATTCCTAATTGGATATTATATTAATTGATTTCATTCAGATTTGAATCATGTATGCTTAATGTACATGTTTATGTTTGTTTGTTTGTTACAAATTCATTTCTTCTCCAGTCTGTCCAAATAAGCCCATCTACTGATTCGATTATTCACCAAGAGACGCAGAAGCCATTTTTTGATGGCAAGATTGATGGATGTATGCTGAAGTACAATTCAACCCCTAGTTATTTGTTCTTTCAGTTCCTGATAGGCTGGGTATCTTCATAGACCAACTGTTCTAGATGCCTCCTAGTGTGGTCATCAACACGATTGGCATCTGGACAGTAAGGAAGCAATTTGTCTGTGCTGGTGATGTTGACATTTCAGTCTCCAAAAACTCCAGAGTAGCATTGGACCTGTGTGATAGAGAACTGTCCTATCGGAAATTGAAACTTCTTTCACATGTTTTTTTACATCCTGAGGAGTCCCTTTTTAACACTTCATTTCAGTAATATTCAGTATAACCACTAAGAGATCCGTACTCGCGAAGCACACACCTGATCGTGGTTCGCGAGCACGGATCTCTCTGAGCCAATGGAGAAATATGTTCAGGAGCGAGGAAATGGTGATGCGCGACTATATATTTTACGTTCGCAATGTGAGAATCGTGGTTCGAGTGGAAACTAGTTTGCGAGGTCAGAACTGATGTTCGCGTTGGTGATAGTCGAGGAAGCATGTACTTGCGCAGCGGGCAGTGCAAAAATGCAGTCTTGGACTGTTTTTTGTTTGCCCACCGTGCTAGTGAATTTCGTAATATTTTAATGAGGTTTCTCCCCAGGTATCATGAAAAAGAACAATAACCCCTGCAGTGTTCATTACATGCTCGTGTGTTGCTCATTCAAGCGCACAAACACTCACACAATATCTTTAGAATACATCGCGGTTTGTAGTCCATGGTATGGAATTCTTATTAGGACGTCTAATAAAGGAGCTGGTAGCACACTATAGCGCAGCGATATTTGACCTTATATTAAGATACCTACACATATGCCCCCTAATAATTTTTTCCCTTTTCCCGATTTGGAGAATACAATGCGACAGAAAATGATATAAAATGATTTCAAATATTTGATTTAGGTTTCTAAGCTATACGTTTGAGGTGATTATTCTCATCAATACAAGAAATATGTTATTAGTACATCGGCGTTTTGTATTGTTTCTCAGACATTAATGAGATATACAGTATGGTACAAATGAATTACTTTTGTATTAGAATGACAAATGCTAAAATTATGCTAGTTTTTCACAAAATGGGTCTCAAATATGTTTTGATATACGGGTTGCTATTCCTCGGTGAACATTGCCAATAAAGGACTTGGCTGATTGCGACTACAGCTAAAATTCTATCTCTCTATCTTGGATATTGCTCAGTTGCTTATAAAACAACCATCAAGACTTGGTCGAATTCATGAGTCATTTGAAAATCTGATGATACCCAGCGGTTACGTCAAGGAAGAATTGTAAGGCGTTCGATTGCATATGACTATGATATAAGATGACTATACTATAAGATTAGTAGACATGCTCTAGGAATATATGAACATTCCAATACCTCTGCAACCTTAAATTAGATATAAATATTATCTATTTGTTATTTTCTTATGTTTCATAAAACTAACATAATTTGTTGTTTGACCCCTTGCTATAATATGGATAAATTAAAATGTTTTGAATGGTAAGAAAACATGTTTGCAATCAAAAATTACCTAAATATTCCACACAAATCTGTTCAATCTGCTTGGCTTGTATTATAAAAATCAAACAAAATCTGAAAAGCACACTTGTGTAATTACACTAATTATACACCAAAATTTAAAGTAAAATTATGTAAAGTTTTACATAATGATAATCTATTTTATTGTCCGTATGCTTAGAATAATGGTCCGTGTCTTATAAAATGTATAAAACTTCGATTAAAAAAAAATTCATTTTGACCCCTTGTGATGAAAAAAATATCAAAACATATGCACCTCCTTGTCTAATTTCTGATTGGTACAATAAGGGATACGGATCCAAAATGTGTCCGCTACGTTTGACGCAGGCTAGATAGTAAAAAATTGAAAATCCTCTTTAATGCATATTGTTGCTAGTTATGCATGATATTCGTTGCTGTTTTTCATACGGAAACTTATAAGAAATATCACGAAGAAGACCTTTACATGTTGCTACAGAGCGTTGTCATCGACGTTTCACGATGGATAATCAGTTTTGGTTGCAGCGGGTTCTATCCGAATATTTTTCTAAACTATGCCGTTCCTTCGTAAACAGAGTCTTTGCAGACTTGTAGGCTCGATACACAGTGTTATACTCTAAGCTCAGAGATCCAGTATGTATGCAAGATAAGGTCAAAATTGCTTTACAGGGATAAGTTTCTTAGATGTTGATGATATCCTTAGTACAATTTGATCTTTAAAGTTGTACTAAAACCATTGTCAGAATCTCTCATTAGCTTGTGCTTTGCACTTTTTTATTATTTTGACTACAAAGCTAACTGCTATTTTCCAACAAGACACGATTTATTAAGACGAAACTCAACATCTGAAATGTTGATATTTAAGCGGACTTTTTAAGTCATGTTACCATACCATGTGCCAAGTTATTCTGGAACCAAATCTAAAAACCGTTGTGCAAATTGTGCAAAGGCTGAACCTAAGTACAGCAAAATTTTAAATGTTAGGAACTACTTTGAATTTAAAAAATAAGCAATCAAAAGGCTATATTGCAACAGTATATAATTAAAATAATAGAAACATATGTACTTGTCCTAACTTTTGTATATTTCAGATAGTTATATATAATGTGCAGTAAAGCTCTGGCGTTTTGTAATTTAGGGAGTTTCAGCCATGTTAATTTTCCGAAAATAACATGGCAGAGAAACATAAAAAAATAATAGGTCACAGATTTGATAGCTAAACTACAGAACAAACTAAAATATATACATTTTTTTTATTTATTTATATGATATAGACAGTACAATATAGTGCTGCGGCTAGGCTTAAAAGCATTATTAGCCACATCTAGAATTATACTTATATAAGGGGTAAACATAAAAAATTGTAAGCCTAAATGGTAAAAGGCTTAAAAATTAGGACATGTGTAGATGTTTTTATTTCTACATACTAGTAAACTGTTTCAATATGGTCCTTTAATTGCTTATTTTTTAGATTTAAAGTAGTTCCAAACATTTAAAAATAAAAAGCATACTGGGCGATATGAGTATAAAATGATAATTTACCTCCATTTTTCAAGGTTCCCTGGTTCATTTTCAGAATTCTGATCATATTCACCGCATAATCCTTCAGTTCGTGTCCTGTAGTTCTCGTCAAACCTATCTCCTCTTGGTTTATCCAGATTTGAGGGTGTTATCAATACATTAAATAGACGTCCATCTGATACGGATACCACGGTGCCACTCGGTAATGTTATCTGGAATTACAGTATAGAATTATTCTATGTTAACATCACTTAGGCTGTACCGAATTAAGATTTAACGCGTTGAACGCGTGAGGTAAGGTACAACACAAAGATGGTGCAATTTGAGCAAACTCATGTTTTCATTGTTTCAGAAAGATCTGGTTTTGTTTCTAGATATTTGTATATGTAAATGTCTTTAACAACATCCTAGACAGTGAACTTGGCAGTTAATTTCATAGTTACACGTACACAAACTCCGAATGTAGTATACTGTATAACGCGCAGTAACGGTAACGTACAACACAAGTGAATTGAATTTGCGTTATACCGTATCTCAGGTAAAACCTACGCTTTATACCGTATACTACATTTGGAAATCTTTCTGAAACGATGGAAACATCAGTTTGCTCTTTCCGCAACCTGTTGTTGTACTTTACCCTGCGCGTTCAACTACAACGCTTAATTTGGTACGTACCCTGTGAAGATACTGTATTATATGCCATTTGTTCCGAGTATTTTGTGATGAATCGGAACAAATGTGACCCAGGCAATAAGTAACTAAAAATCGGCACAGAGTAGCTGATTCCAACGAATGCTATACGCATGAATCTGTATATCTGTATATGTCACAATGTTATTTTTACCATATATTCTACCCTTGATCAAGTATATCAGAATTTCCATCGATTATAGTATAATGTAAACACAATATACTCAGAAAAGATCTCTAAATGATAGCGAATTCCTGTTCTAGGCAGCCACATTTAAATTTTAGAGTCACGAATTTAAAAAACAATTCCATAATTGACAATTCTATAATTGTAATCTTTCTAAAAATTGCTTCAGTTTGAGTATAACTGCATGTGTACAATTCTTTGAAGGGATCAGAAAATTATTCTGAAATCCTATATAAGGCAGCCATTTTGAATTTTACAGGGCCCGATTCAGAAAAAACGATAAATATTTGAAATTTACTCTAAGTTGCCTTTCATTTCACAAATACACGATGCCCATGTCAAGCAGCGTGCCTACTAGTCACGCAGTTTGAAACTCTGACAAACTGCGCGCATATTTCAAAATGGGAGACGGGGAGGACACGACTCCCAAAAAGAGCCAAAATACGAAAAATACAAGGTAAGTCTCGTTCCAAAGATAAAACCATTCTGTGAAGATGAACTTAATTTACTCATAGTACTCAATGTTTTTCCCGATATAAACCTAGTTATCTCAATATAAGGGTCTTAAGTAACTTCTGTGTTCAAAATTTACAGTGTAAAGTTATATCTATGTATTTTTATCGTCATTTGCCGTTTATTCAGCCATTGTGTCTGTGTATGCTAAAATATATAGGATCACTCTATCTGATTAAAGCAGCAAAGTTTGTGTTCAAAACGATAATATCCCATGATTTAAACATTTTTCTTGTCAAACTGCGCGCCTATATTCACATGTATTTCCCAAACTGCGTGCCTAATATTTCCAAACTGCTTGCCCATCCAAGCTTGTTTTGTATTATTAGAAAACATAAGCGCCATATTTAAGGCACATATGTGTCTGATGGTAGAATCCCATAATTGAACCACTATGAGAGTCCATCCACCAAGATGATGATCTGAAAATAATTTTTTTTTCGTTCCCAACTTAATTGTCACTTCTATTATACATTTTGACTTTCAATATGAAAATCTCATAAAATCTGACGATAAAGCAAAATTTCCAAAGTTACATGAAAAACACCTACACGTGCCTCTGTAGAAATTCCAATGATAATATGTAGTTTTAATAGTGTATGCGCACAGTTTGTAATTTCTGGCTAAAATAGGCGCGCAGTTTGTGGTTTATTTCTTTTTAATCTCCTGATTATCTGTCTTATCTCGAAATATTTTGAATTATACATGATAAATGTGTGAGGAATTAAATATAAAACGAGTCTAAAGTATTTGTCAATCATGTTTAAAGTGCTAGATCGATTTACGTATAAATTCCCGTTAAATCAGTGACGAAAATGCCATTAATCTGCTTATGTTTTCAAACTTAGATTCATTTGCACATAGTTTTTGCTTGTATTTGCAAGATTTGTATATTCGCCACAGAATGAACGCATTGAACAAGAAAACAATGCAGGATAAATTACGTTTCAAAATACAGACTCCAACTTAAATGATGTAATGTTGTTAGGCACGCAGTTTGTGATCGAAACAAACTGCGCGCCTTAGTAGGCGCGCAGCTTGACATGGGCACCGTGAAATACCTCAAAATTAACGAAAATTCCTGTTTTCCAGATGTGAATATACTACCAAAATTTCAAACAATCATATTTATGACTTTGAAAATGAAAACCTTCCCGCCATTTCAAAAGCGGCACCTATCTTGTTTTGCGTAAAACCGTTAACCAATAATTCATAAAGTTCGTGCAAAAGAAAGATTTTTGTTTCTCGGTCAATCTGGGTGACATTTTCACTCAGTATACCTTTCCTTTACATACATTGAAATTCATAATTATAATGAATAGTTCGTAAAAGAAAAGCTATGGTTGCTAGAGTAACATGAGCCGGAGTTAGGCAGAGCAGTCAAAAGAGGATCTGTTTTGTTTGAATGTTCACAATTTTTTTCTTTTTGTTCTTTTTATTTTACTTACTCAAGGGTATATCAAGGATATATTTGGTCATATAGTGTCAATCATGGTCTATACACATTTGCCATTTCACTAGCCATGCATGCCTCCCTCAAACAGATGGCAGAATCCATTTGGGAAATTTATAGGGATTGATCCTTGCATGGATGCCATAAGTTCTCCTGAGGTCGAATGACGAATTCTTGGATGACCTGATCTAGCATTGTCCTTAACATTTTCTCCGCCATCAGTAAACTCATTTGTAAATGCTTTTGGCCATGGCCTCCTCCCAATACACCTTATGAATGTCTTTAAGTGTTTGCTTTCTTGAATTTTCCAGTAAAACATACGTCCTGATGCTACTGCGTAGGTATTTGTAATTGCAAATTATCATCTTTTACTGCGACCGTTTCCACAAAAAGAAAATGGACATTGTCTTTCACATACAGAATCTTATGTCATCAACCATTATAGGTCACTCCGATGGCATCAGTGATGTCATGAATCGAATAAATTTCAACTACATGTATGATTTCAAATATGACAATCTACAGGGGTACAATCTTGTCATATGCCATCGGTTGCGGACTTAGTGCACGTGAGTCAGTATGTCCAAATATTATTCGACTATTAAGGTCGTAAAATTAGTCCTATTCGCCAGTACGCGCAAGTTGACGTTGGGGAGAGCCCTTTAAAACGTGAATCATTTTGGAAAATTGTCGCAACTTTTTAACAATCTAATTATTGGAAACGATTTTGCTAATCGACGACGAATTCTTTAGTCCTCGGAAAACTGAATCGGCCAGCACCGTCCGTTATATATCCAGACAAACAAATTCATCAGTTAAAGAAATTTGATTAATTTGTCATCCGAGGTATTTTTTATTATTTCAAACGAAAATATTTACCTTTAGTGCTTTTCCATCTTGGGCAGTTTTTAAGTTGAAACCACGAGCCAAATCTCCATTTTGGAAAAGCGTTACTTTTCTGTTCCTGAACTTCACCCCTCTTGTTTGACCATAGTATATACGGTTTTCTGCGCAAGAATCAACGACAAGAAGATCGTCTTCTACCTCGGCCGCTACTAAGCAATTACACGTAGCTGCCTTATTACATTTCGTTGTTTTAATGTAAACCTATAATAATAATACTATCATTACATAGATCCAGGTAAACATTTCAACATTTTTACTACATGTAGTGGTTTGATTGCCCGGCCTTACCTAAAAATGTATATCCTTCTTGAAACATGTCATACCCATATGATACTTTTAGAACATGAGTGTAATTAATGCTGCTATGGAGTGCGATAGCAGTGAATATGCGATACTCATTTGTGAATATCCGATACTCACTATATGCGATACTGTTTAGTGAATACTCGATACTTCTGAATACTCGAAATGATACTCAAAGGTGCATGTACGATATTCACTTTGATAGACGTGATGAAGTTACTTTTTTTACACGGTTTTGGATATTCACCAGTGAGTATCGCATATTCATCTCAAAAGATATATTCTAACCCCCCTATCACACCAAACTAGTTCTTACCCGTTCTTGCCAGTCCTACGAAAACGTCGTAAAACGGGCTCAATCTGGCTGTGGTCGGGAAATATGTCTGAAATAATTAGCTCCTTCGTTCTTAAACAGTCTTCAATACGTCCATCTCGTTCGCAGTTCGTTCAGGTCGCACCACGTCGGCGTGCAACGTAGTAGAACGCGTCCCTTAGTCTAGAAGGTCAACATGACCTAATTACAGAACGGTATGGTCGCCATCGAATTTTGAATCGATTCAAAGTTCTAAAATCACATTCCCGTCTGAGAACGATCACAAAGTTTGTAAATAGACCTTAGAAAGTTGCAGCTACGTTCATTACGTTCGCCCACAGTTTAAAACCAGTTTTGAAGAACGCAGTGGCAACTTGTTTGGTATGATAGCTATATTTTTGCTAACTCGTTTATAAGCAGTGTTAAATACGTTCTTAATCAGTTTAAACCCGTTTGCAATTAGTTCTACCTCGTTCTCAACACGTCCTCAGACAGTTCAACTCGTTGTTAAAACGTCCCTAGTAGGATTGAAGTACGACGGTTCCGTTCGTAGTACGTCCAGCTCGTCGTTAGTACGTTGTCACTCGTTCTAATTGTAGAACGTGACGACCACGAGAACATTTTGAGCATTGTCTAAGTTCTAGAGGATCTACCCGTCCGAGTACGTTCGATGACGTTTGTAAATAGATCCCAAACGGTTCTTAGTAGGTCCAGTCCGTTCGTACACAGTTGAAGCCCGTTTTCGAGAACGTAGTGAGAACTAGTTTGGTGTGATAGTAGGGTTAATGGAAAATTATGCTGGATTACCAATAGAGTAAGCGCACCAATCATTATTCTGGCGTTAAAATTTATTTCATGCAATGAATGAGTGATCGATATTTCTTAACTTATCAGAAATGTATTCAATTCCTTAATTGAGTGTCATGATATTTTCAAGAACACATAATTCCTTCCATACATCGTCCGAATTTTCAGTTTCTCATAAATATAAAATTTGCATTTCTACCTTGTAGTCTAACTCTGTATTCCTATACAGAAGATACACGCCCTGTGTATGATGTTCGTAATATCTGGAAGAGAGATACATATTCACTCTAATTTTTTCAATTTTATTACTTAATGAATGTAAAAATATTTTCTTACATAAAGTAATGCTCAAGGTAATTTTTAGTTAATATATGACTTGGAATTAGTCAGAGAATCTATTGTGGTATCTCATCAATGGTATAATCATTAGTGAAAAGAGTGATTCACATCCAGAAACAATAACTAAGTAATTACTAGTAATATAATTACATTTACATTAAATTACATGTTTAAACTAGTTGTCAAATAATACATTTTTAGAATGAAGTAATTACAAGTAATCCGTCCCCTATTTTTTTTCATTTTCTTCTCGTATTTGATTTACCGAATTACAAGTAATTAACACTCTACATTTTGTTTAAAATTACTTTTTACTTAGTTTTCCTAGAATTTATTCATATAAATTCATCAAGTAATCTACACCCTTAATTTTGCGTACTATTACTTGATTTTTTATACGTATCTTATATACATTGCGTTACATTATGCCTTACCCTGCGTGCAGAGTCTAGTTATAAACTACGAAGCTCACCTTTAAGAAGTGAAGTCGAACAAATGCAAAGGGTAATGATTATTCCTGTTATAAGTATTTGGATATACACCAGAATATCTCAATTGATGCAAACTAGTCTGTTCTAGCACATTTTATCGCCGAGATATTGCCAGTCTACTAACCTGGATGAGGGGGTCAACAATAAAAATTGATATCTGCCACTGATAGGGCTTGTTTTCCGTTAAAAAGTAGGCGTCGCCCGCAGTGTAAACCAATGGGACGGAAAGAATGTGATCTGAGAACATTCTTGAAAATGTAGCACCCTAATGCACTTTCATTTTTGAATAATAATAGGTTAAGCGACATGCTTAGGTGTAGAATTGTGGTGCTCTAGAGATTACTTTTCCTTTACTAGTTATTAATTGCCCATCAATCTTTTTCACCTTTGATCAAATGTTGTCATATGTGGATCGTTGTTACTTTTACAGTTAGTTGCGCCTTTAAAATGACCATTTGGGTGATCAATCTGGAGCTGTAAATGAATCATATTGATTTTACTAAATACAGGGTGGTCAAATAAAACGACAACCCTGCCCTATTTTTCTCATTTCTTTGTCATTTTAGAGAGGGGCTCCCTGATATTTTGCACATGTGTAAATCATTCAATTTTCTACCAGCCAACAATATTTCATGACCATCAGATTGATGGTTACAATATTACAGCACTTTAAACATCATGCTCATTGCGATGTGGGCAAACCTCAACCCGTTGTCCAAAATGTTCATACCTGAGCTGACTTCTACCTGTGGGATATGACAAAGATAAAGTGTACACAAATTACCTCAGGACAATTACAAACCTCAAAAAGGAGATCATAATTGTCATTCAGGCCATACTTTCTAAGACAACTTGTGCAGGTTTGCCTATAAGCGCGATGATGGCCACACCTGGGGTATGTTGTTTAAAGTGCTGTAACATTGTGACTATCAGTCTGATCGTTATACAATATGGTAGGCTGATAGGAAATGTGTAAGTGTGTAAAATATCAGGGAGTAATTCCCTCAAATGACAAAGATATGAGGAAAATACAGCGTTGCCGTTTTTTTACCACCCTGTATATGGAAGTAGCAAGACTATCTTCCTTTTAACAACCTCGCTGCTTGTGCATCTTATGTATACAGTTCATTATATCACTTATTATGTAGAAACGACATATAATGTATATCGAAAAGCATACCTAATGTTATAATTCACCCTAAGCCTAATCTCCCTAATGATTCACTAACTTATTAATTAATGTTTTCAACTTACGGGTATTTCTATTATTTTATAATTGTGCCATATATCTGGGTCTCCAATCTCTCCTGTAAAAATTCTTAAGTAATACAAACTTTCATAGCTGTGTAGAGATGATGCTTTGACGTCAATGTCTATCTCTTTTTTTATTGATCTCGGACCTCCAGGGGAGATTGTGACGTTGCAACGCGTAGACGCTAATTCATCAATAGCACTACAACCCAATGCTGGGTTTTTCTGTTGATGATATCCCATGAAGACTAAAACTTTGCAGAATGGGTAATAGTTGCAGACAATTGGGAGTGTGATATGAAAAGTCAACTTCAGTTTTGAGGTTTTTCCGGCTGTCAGTGGAGAGTAGTTTTCTATCTAGAACATAATAATTTTAATGCTACTTTCGCCCAAATTGCGTTTAGGACTTACATAAAATACAGGGAAGAGCATAATGCAGATTATGTTTTATTTGCACATCATAAGTTCAACACGCTACACACAATTATGCAAGTTGCTGGGCCTAAAACAGCTGGCATGGGCAGAAACATGACAAAATTTTAACCTGTAGTAAAGCCGGCCAAACCAATGGTTCCTTACTATAAACACAAACGTTTTTCGTATCATCTGTAAAATGAAGCCTTCTTATTGGTCAGTTCTTATGATGTATCAATCTTTATCCTATGCCAAGTAGTGTTTTAGGGAGATAAGTTGGTAAGATATATCCCGTATCCTGATGTTGAGGTTTCCATATCCAGAACCTCCATATCTCCCGCTAATTTCCATAACTTTTTTCAAATTTTTTTTCAACATTTTTTTTCAGAATTTTTTTTTCAAATTTTTTTTCACATTTTTTTTCACATTCATCAAATTCACATTTTACAATTTTTTTCACGTTTTTTTTCATTTTTTTCACATTTCTGTTTTTCAAATCTCGCAAACTTTAAGACCAAGAAAACGCGTACCTTAAGTATGTTTTGGAATTTTGGATCTTTAAAAGGTATGATGTACCTAGAACCTCAGTAGTATGAAATACATCTGTTATGTACGGTCGGTTTTGGATACATTTATCCTTTTGTTACATTGTTAAACAACACTTTTGTATTTCAAAGGTTATGAATGTATTTAAAATTTAAAAGCAGAAATGCAATAAAATGACTTTGCATATGAATGATTTGTTTATTTTTACACCTTGTACTATTGAAATGGCCATATGCCCCTGAAAACTCTACTTGGTATAGGATAAAGCAGTTATGTACGGTCGGTTTGGATATTGGGTTCATCCCTCGTGAGATATGCACATGTACCTTCGATCCCTACTGTCCCTCAGGTAGATATGCATATCTCCCTCTGGATAAACCCCATATCCAAAACCTCCCAGTACATAACCCTTATGTATTGCTACTGAGATTGTCCCCATTGATCATCTCCGTCGCAATACAGAAAATATTGGCACGGAGGGAACAATCTCAGTAGCAATACAGAGGATCACACGATAAAAACGATTTGAAGTGCAATACATGATATAGTCTTTCTCGATATTCTGTATTGGCACTCGACTTCGTCTCGTTCGAATGCGGAATTTCTCGAGCAGAATATATCCTGTATTGCACTTCAAATCATTCAATAACTTAGTATTAGCTAATTTAATTTATGCCTTGCAACAATATCAAACATATTTTTTTCTTTTAAAATATATATAACAAAGCTGCACTAGTCTCTAGATTTTGAAAATTTGTTAAGGTATTGTATAACGTATATCATGACCAACAAAAATTCTAAAAAGCAGGCTCAATGTCCTGTTTAAGAGTATTGAATTTTCTCCGAAGAACTCAAGTTGATAGAATCTCAACAAGTACATATGCATGTGGGATAGTATTGCTAGAATCCATTTTTAATAGTTAGAATATTGATTCACAGGACATTAACGCTTGAACTAGGGCCTTTTTAATTTTTTGGGTAAGTACTACTAGTACACCAAACACATTTTTGTCGCTTACTTCGATGTATGGTAGAAAAATATCCAACAAGAGCTTGCTCATGAACTTTTGCAGTGAAAGTAAAAGTCATTTTTTTGTTTTGAGAATTCCCAGTTTCACTGCTTCAGAAGAGTTTTAAACATTTTGATTACAAACTAGTTTCACTATATTTGGTTTGTCTGTTCTCCAATGATATTGTAACTGTGTGTTGAAGATGTTTTAAATATGGATGTTTTAAGTGTGGTTTTATCCTTTTGAATGCCATTGACGACCCATATTATACTTTCCACACATAGTCAAGTATCATATCGTCTGTTGATTTAGTCTAAACAAGTTTGCCAAGCCACCGAAATAATGCTTTCATGGATTTCTAGCTATTCTTCACATAACAGCATTGCTACTTTTTTGCTTGGATTGAGCTTGCGCTCTTTCGGATGGTCATATTCATCCAATATCTCACCGGGTGAGAACCAACGGCATACCTTTTGTTGGACAGCATTGCTAAATGGTTTATATAGATTTAAAATGTGGCCTTTAGATTGTTACCCTATAACATTCACAGCTTGATTCAGTTTGGCCTTTACTTATAATGCCGCTTAATAGCATTTTAGGATCGGCGAGAATATTTCTATGTTTTGTGATTCAATTAGCTATAAAGTGTCACAAAATCTAGCTTAATTTAGGTCAAATGTGTAAATATGTAGCATTTAAAGAACAAATGGCAAATTGCGGTGACGACATATTTCCCCAAACGAAAAAAAAATTGAGTGTCACAAATTGTTTTAAGTAATGCAACATTTCATGAGCAAACTTTTGTTGGTTATTTTTCTACAGCACATCAAAGTTTGGGGTACAGAATCATTACAGAACTTTGTTCGAATAAATTGAAATGGAAAACTTTTCAGTTAAGTATTTCATATTTTTCCACATTTTAATTTTAATAGCTTTATACATATTCAATAAAAATCTTTCTTTAAAATTGTTTACCGATTTGAGTATACCGTATGCACCAAAATTGTTATTATTGTGTTATTATAGTTACCCTATTGTATAGATGTGCATTTTAAGTAATATATTTCACTCGTGTGAAGCAGTACAAATTGATCAAGAGGCTCAAATCTCTTAGTGAGATTGCAAGGTGATTCGGGCAAACTTCAATAAATGACCACATGTATAAATGTACATTCGATTTAATCGAATGAAATCAAATGTTGCTGAAACATCTGTTCAATGATTCAGATGCATGAAATTGACCATGATAGTAAAATATGAATGCCATATAGGTATACTGCATATAAAATACAGGAAACTGTAACATGTTTACCTCTACATTTATCCCGACAAAGATGTGGTCACTTTCCACCCAATCAGAATAAGAAGCATTCTTTAAAATAGGATTCGTATTTCGGTCTTTATATGACTCCCTAACCCGACACACGAGCTGAAAGGTAAAAGATCGAATTTAGAGCTTACCAATGGTTAACTTATTTAAAGAGGTCTACCCAATTTTGTTCCTCATCTTCTACATGCCTGCCCGTCTGCCTAACTGTTCTTCCTAGACCATCCAACCTTGGGCCATCTTTGTCAACATAAAAATGGGTTAATGGGTATTCTACAAAGGTCAGAGGGCAAAGTCATTATAGGGTCAAAGGTCAATATAAAAAAGGTCAAATACCTAGATACCTAGAAAAAATATTTTAATATAGAAAATTGAATTGTCTAACTTGTTTGTACCCTAAGTGTTTAGTTTACTTGATGAATACTATTAAAAGTTACAGAGCTTCAAAGTCATTTTTGAAAATCAATTTTCGCCTCCTGTGTTATTTCGATGGGAGAGGTTTTTTGAAAAACAATTTTGACTTTAAAGACCTATAACTTTTGAACCTGAAGAAACGTATCAATCTTTTGTTAAATAACGGTAGCAAATTCAACTGCCTACCTAAGTTGTATTTTTGCAAGGACTCGGATGGATGGATATCCTGTCATATGACTTGCGGCAAACCTACCATTTCCCATTGGTTAACATGGGAATGTCGATTTTCAAAAATTCACCAATTTAATCATCAATTTTCGACCTATTGTAATGGAAGAAAAAATTGGGAAAATTTGGAGGTATTGGGAATAAGGTCAAGTTAAGTTTCCATAAATAGTTTAAGTATTTTCACCGCAAGTTAAGTAAATAAAAAAGTAAAGCGGCTTTAAGCGGGGGGGGGGGGGGGGAGCTAAGGTTGCCAAACTTATGGAAGGGAGTGTAATCTGAAATCAAATTCAACTTTATTTGCCAAGGTCATTCCAGTTTAAAATGTCAATGTCTAGCTATTTGGCGTTTCAGCATGCAAGGCATTTGGACGCTGGCGTGGCCCTTGGCGACCCATGATAAGGTGACTTGAGGTCAAGGTAAAAGTTTATGGGTCAAGGTAATTTTAAAGTCAAAGGCCAATTTCTAAGTATTTGGCGTCGAAAGCTACTTAGGGGATGCTGTGGCCCTTGGCTACCCATGATTAAGTGATCTGAGGTCAACGTTTATGGTCAATGTCATCTAAAGGTCAAATGTCAACATTAAAGTATTTGACGTCGCAATGCCCTTGAGGAGTTGACACTTGCCGACTGACGATTCGGTAACCTGTCATCTCAAATTCATCCATCTCAAATTTGAAAATATGTTCTTATCATTTAAAGGGATCCAACACCTTACAAAACTTCTTAACGGAGAGGAATAAGGGAAAATGCTTGCCGGATTCTGAATCTGTGTATTTTTTAATGATTTTTCACCGTCTTAGAATTTCAATTTTTTTCCTTTGAAAAAATGAGATTTGCATTGTTTTCCAATTAGACAAATGAGTAAACATGAATAGCTCGAAATCTAAAGGTGAGATTTTGTTTTAAAAAATCATGGATATCAAGGCTAAATATAGCTATACAATAAACATAAAAAAGCAATGGTTGGACTCTTCATATTCACACAAAAAATTAATTAGTAAATGAGGTTTGATATTTGTGAGAATAAGTTGTACGAGTCGCAATGCTCTACAAACACCAGACTACAGGGTGGATTAGGATCAATGACACACATAAAAATTAATTAAAAAATATTTCATGATAATTATCTCAAGCAAAAGCAGTTAGCGAAGGATACATTTCATTACACTCAATAAATAGTTATCACTTTTGACTATATATACATATCTCATGGGAATGTATTTCCATCTGCTCAAGATATCATATTTTAGCTTCGAAAATCACAATCGTTGGATAATACATTTGTCTCAGAATGATAGGCCACCCTGTAGCAATGTAGC